CCAGCCTCTTCCACAAGCCAGCAGGAGCAGGCGCAGGGCCGCCCCGCAGGCATCTGGTGAGCAGCGCTAATTACGGGGAGCTGGGCCCCAGTGTGAGTGGGAGGAGGAAGGGGAAGGGCGGCGAGGGACCCAGTTTCTCCACCCCAACCACAGCATCTGAAGAGCAGCTGCAGGCCGGGGTTCGCCTGCGGGGAGGAGGCGCGAGGGGCTGGCGCGCCCCGCACACATGAACTGGGCGGCCTGGCCTCCCGCGGGCCCAGCCCTGCGCGCACACGCGTGCTCATGCACACAGGCACACGCGTGTTCGGACACGTGCACACCGATTCCGGCCCACTCACCGGCAGGGGACTCACGTCTGCGTCTTGTTTCTACATGAAACTTCAGTCAAGAGTTTAGAACTTCGGACCAGGACAGACAGCAGATTCCCCCAAAAAGGGGGGGTCCGCGCTGCCCGGGGAGGTGGTAAGCGCCCATCCTGGGGTTATGTAAGTGGAGGCTTGGTGGGGCTTTGGTGAGGAGGAGGTGGGGGGGGAGGATCAGGCGTCACATTCTAGGGCTTTAAAAACCTGGCCCCTCCCCTTCATCATCACACTCGCCCAAGAGCTGGGGAGTCTTTGCTGGGCGCCTGCGCTTCCTGCCTGGTCCACAGAAAGCCCGGACCAAGCCCCCTCCCCCGCAGGAGTCCCGCCCTGCGCCCTGCAGCCACAGAGCAGCCAGAATGATCTTCCCGTCACCCCACCCCACCCCACCCCACCCCACCCCACCGCCTAGACCCAGCAGAGCGACCAGTTGGCTTTGGATGACCTTCAAATACAAGAGGCAGCGCAGGCCAGGCCTGCGGACGGCCCTCGACCCCTGCTCCGGGCCCGTCTTCCCGGCCCCTCCCCGGGGCTGTCACTCCTGTCACCGCCCGTGTGGCTGCGGGTGACCCTGCCTGTCTCGTCGTGAGTGCACGAGGCAGCGGCGGCCGGACTCTCACCGCTGGGCCCCAGCCCGAGCCGGCACCGAGCCGGCACCCGACAGGACTGAAGCATCCTGTTGGCTTTTGATTTGAGGGTCATGGACCCTTTCGAGAAACCTAAAAGTAAATGGAGCCACCTGCCCGGAAAGGGCCGGCAAAGTCCCTGCGCACACGTTCAGGCCACCCACACCCGAGGCCACCGGGGGCCCAGCAGGCCTTGCGCGGGACACTTCCCCAGCCGACCGCGCTGCCCCCCAGAAAGCAGAGAACAGAACCGTACATTGCCGTGGGAAGGGGCAAGACGCAGCCCACAAGACGGGGTTCATGGGGGTGGGGTGCCGCCACCGTGCCTCCCGGGACGCGCCCAGGCCGAGGGGCAGGAGCGGTGCCCGGGGCTCAGTGTGGCCCCTGGCCGCCCCGCCCCGCCGGCTGGCCGGCGTGTCCGGCTGACGGCCGGGGGAGCCACCGCGAGCGGTTTGTGTCGCTCCCTGCGCTGCGTGAAGAAGCGATGGAGAACAGAGCGCTGGGATGTGTCACGCAGATCTAGGGCCGCGGCTCGGGAGTCTGCGGGTCCCCGCGGCAGGTCAAGGTGCGGGCCGGACTGGACGGCGCGGGCGTGGGCCGCGCTGTCTCCCTGTGCAGTCCAGCTAGAAGGGTCGGCCCCACCCCCGACTCGTTCACACCCCCGTCTATTTCCGGGGCCACATCTCCGCTCTCCCTCGCGACTCTGACCACAGCGAGGAAGCGTCCCCTTCTCAGGAGCCAGGTGAGGCTCCACCCACCCGGGCAAGGCCCGACAGCCGCCCTGTGAGCTTGGCCGCTGAGGGGTCTAGTCGCACCTGCAAGCGCACCCCCTTTGCCCTCCAGTACCACATGCACCCCCACTTTGACACAGACCTCTGGGCGGGGCTGCTCTGCCCGGGGGATCAGCTTGCAGAGGTGGACGGGAACCCCTGTGTCTGACAGCGCACTGGCAGGGAGGGAGCCAGACCTCTTCCCACCACAGCTGGGCTCGTACTCATGCAAAAATGGCCTGGTGGTGAAGTGAACTTCCTGAAGGTTTTCTTTTTTGCCCGGGAGGCTCCAGACGCCTGCGCCAGAGCGAAGGCAGTGCTTCCCGGCAAGGCAGCGCCACACGGGGTGTGGGAACACGGTCCACCCCGCGCAGCCACCCAGCCCGCCAGGTGCCATCAGGGGCTGCTCCCCGGTCAGACCCCAGATTCCCAGGGTCAGACCCAGGGAATCTTGCTCTGTGTCCACAGACAAGTCACTTAACCTCTCTGAGCCCCAATTTGGCCCCCTCTACGGGGGGGGAGGGCATCAGCCTCAGGGCCGCGAGAGCCACGTCGCGTCTTGGCTAAAAGCTTGGCACCTGTATGCAGACCCACGAGAGGTGATGCCCAGCGATGCCCAGAGCTCCCTTCTGAGGACCAGTAACTAGCGAGCCTTGACTCGTTTGCTAGCGAAAATGTGGCCTTTATTTTTCATTTGCTTCTACTTATAATAAACGTCCCACGCACTCCTGAAACTCCCCGCAGTCTCCCGCCAGACCCTGCTGCTCGTTCTCACATCTGATAACGAAACGTCTGAGACCAGCCGACCGGCCCCTTGAGCGCAGAGAGCAGCCGCCGCCCGTGTTTAAGAAGTGTTAACACTGCCCTGGCTTCTCGCATGGGTCTCGCATGGTTTTCATTCTAAGCCGTAAGATTAAAGAGCCCACAGACTCTTCTGTTTCCCTCCCCCACTGCCCAAGCAGCAGCCCCCCGGGAAGTGTGCGGCACCCCCCACCATGCTTTCATCATTTATTAAGTGTAGCTGGGGGGG